TGTGTCATCAGCAAAACTACTGACAGTACACTCTGAGCCAGTCATTATGAAGATATTAAATTGGATCAGATGTTAAATAGGTTATGAACCTGTGCTGACTCTTGGGGTATACTTCTAGTTACTGGACTCCAACTAGACTTTATGTCACTAATCATAACCTCTTGGCTCAGCCATTTTTTAATCCACCTCACTGCTCATCCAGCTTCTCTACAAAGATATTAAAAGACAGTGTGGAAAGCCTTAGTGAAGTCAAGGTAGACATCTACTGCTCTTGCCTTGTCTACCTACCTAGTTATTTCATTGTAAAAGGTTATCTGTTTTGTCAAGCATGACTTTGTGAATCCATGCTTATGACTTCCAAACAACTTCTTGTCCACCATGTTCCTGGAAGTGGTTCCAGTATTAGTTGCTCCATCACCTTCCCAGGGACTAAGGTGAGGCTGACTAGCCTGTAGTTCCCTGGGTCCTCCTTCTTGACTCTTTTGAAGACAGGAGTTATATGTGGTTCTCTCCTGTCCTCAGGTATCTTTCCCAAGAGCAGTGATTTTTCAAAGTTAATGGCCTTGCACTGACATCAAGCCAGATCTCTCAGCAGTCATGGGTGCATCCCGTCAGTGCCCATGTATACACAGTTTGATGGATGGGAGCAGCATGAACCATGGCTACATGTGCCAGCCAAGAGATCTTCTTATGTAAAAAAATCACTTGTACTTCTCAGATAAATTTTAATTTCCACTTTAAAAGGGCCCACTCTTATAACCTGTGTATATGAACAGAAGATATAGATAGCAACCTACAATCTTCTCTGGAGATATTCAAGACCTGCCTGGACAAGGTCCTGTGCAGCCTGCTCTAGGTGACCCTGCTTCGGCAGGGTGGTTGGACTAGACGACCCACAGAGGTCCCTTCCAACCCCTAACTTTCTGTGATTCTGTGATCTTCTCTCTGTGGAACCTGCTGGACATGGTGTGGCTTCATAACATTACCGACAATTTCCATTTTCTCCTTACAGGGTAGCATGGGTTTGAACAGCACAAAGACGAATAGGACAGTTAAGGAGGGTGAAGAGGAAAGAAAAGTTAGAATGAAAAAGAAACATAAATTAGAAAAGGGAAAAATTACAAAACAAGAAAAAATCCCCAAGAAAAGCAAGTAAATAAAAGAAAACCTAATCAAAAAGCAAAACAAGCTTTCCTTCACTCTGCCTAGAAAGAGCGGAATCCTGGTTCTGTTCCAGGTGAAAAAATATCATTATCTTGACATCAGGATTACTAAAACCTGTGCAAGAACAAGTCAGAGAGAGAGAAGGAACTCACTGGGAGCACACATAGAGCAGTAGAGCATTGGTATTCGCCAGAGTGTGACATACTACTCCATCACAGGCACCTGTTGTATGATCTTTTTGAATACGATCACACGTCAAGGCACAAAATGGAAGCTCTGAGATACCACTAAGAGTTACGTGCACACTCCATTAAAGAGGGAACGTTTCCTTCTGCCAATGATGTAGAAAAGAAAATACAGCATGTCACCTCTGAGCAGTCTCAAGTTACTGATTTGGTGGCAGCGTTAAGGACAGTCATTGTCTTTGCAAGTGGACATTGACCAAGCTGCCTCTTTGAGACATCTGCACAAGCTATCACTCCCTTCCCTCCAGCTTATCTTTCTCATTCTGGGAAGCCATGTGGAATAGAGTGCTGATCCAGGACCATGCTCATTAGATCAGTATCAGAAACATGCACCCCTGAATCCACTGAAAGAGATAGAAACCTGCTGCTAGCTTCAGCAATGGCCCTGAAACAGAAAATGCAAAAGCAGTGCAGACAGGGAAAGCAAACAATGCTCGTCCTGCTAATACTCATTATGATGGCACTGGTCTACCCAGAGCTGAACTTCAGATTCTGATACCATTTCAGTTCAGTGAAGTCAGGAGGCCCAACAGACAACACTTGCTACTATCTCCCACACCTCTCAATCTTCGTGGGGCCATTGCACCCCATCATGGTCACCTTTGCACCATCTGCAGTTCCCACAAGTGGAAGACCACAGCTGGGATGGAAGCAAGAATGGGACTGGTGTCCTGTGTAATGATCAGAAGAGATGTTGATATCAATGGGAAGGGAAGCGCTTCTGCTCTCACTCTTTCACTATGAGTACAATGTTCATGAAAAATTCGTAGCAGAGAATGCAGCAAACTTTTATCTTTTGTGCACCGAATATTTCTTACTAGTGAGGCAGGATCCTTTCAAGTTATCACAGCCAGTGTGCTTCATTCCTGGCATACCGATGTATCTTATTGTATATAAAGAGCCCATCTTTTTAGCAGCTAAGCAGTATCACATCCCATTTAGCACATACACAGCATTTTATAGAGCAGGCCGCTGTTAGAAATCCTTTTCCCTTAGGTATTTCTACATGCTCATTGCAGTGACATGCATCTGACCAATTAAAGCAAAATGGCTTTAGTTAATTAACTCTAACGGACTGAGTGGTTCCCTGGCTGAAAGTCATAAGAACTGGTTTTTATATTATGAGTGCCACTGATTAACTCTCAGATACTGGACAATTACTTCATGTTCCTGTGTTTCATTTTTCCCTGGTGCAAAAAGTAGAGAAATAAAATTTGTTTTCTTTGGTGAAGTACTTTTGAGAGCTGTGAATGAAAAGAGCTATGCATCATCAGTGAATCCTAAAAAAGTCCCAATGAGAGATTTATAGAAATATCACTGTCGGCGCTGTGCTTCTGGAAGGAAAAAACACAACCAAGCAGAGCAACAAAGGGCCAAAACCTCACTGAGAGGCAGCAGCGAGGACAGGACAAGAATTTAGGGTTGCCTGACTCCATGATAGCCACTTGTTCCTCCAGACCAGGCTGACAAGATGGCATCTTTCTCTCATTTCTGCCCACAACACCCAATTCTTATCCCTCCAACTACTAGATTGTTCCTGCATTGCTTTTTTAAATTACCCTGGCCAACCTCCTCATCGACTTGCCACATCCAGTCACTTCCAACACCTGACAGCCTCCACTAATGTCTCTTTCTGGTTGCAGGGATATTCCTGTTCACTGGGCTGAAAAACTATATGGTGTCATAGGACTACACATATCCTTCTGAGTATTTTTTTCAGATTTCTACTGGGCTCAAGATCTTAAATACCATTGAGTTTTTTGCAAAAAACTTTCCCTCACGAAAAGCTGACTCTAGTATATCTTCTTTCATTCTATTCCTACTACTCTCTCATTACTCAGCTTTGTCTTTCCCTTTCATTCTACTTAACACCATATAGTTGCAAGTCCCAAAGCTAACACACCAGTTCTACAGTGCATTAGCCAGAGCAAGGCAAATAATTTGCACCTGTTAATTGATTTATTTCAACATATTTTTATAATTGAGGAAAGGAAATGAACATAACCAATTTTCCTAATTTTTTTTCAGTATTTGAATAAACATTTTTAAAGAATGTTCTTTGGACTTGTCAGTATTTCTTTTGGCAAAGAGTAGCTAACTTTGGAGCAGTTAAATAAATCTCTATTATTTCTGTTCTACAAGTGATTGAGATAAAAGTGTTTCTGGCACAAGATTTTGTCCATGTCAACTAAACAATCAGTTCTGAAAACAACTTTAAAGTTAGATTTCAATGTAGCAGAAAGGTGAGTGAAAAACATCACATGAGCATTTACTACCTCTCATTTTGATTTTCTCAGGCTAAAGAAAACTATGATATGATAAAGAAGAAGATAACAAGGTCTGTTCTGGGATCTAGAGGCTGAGTACCATGACTTGACTGGTGCCTCAGCTCTCACTGCAGGCAGAAGAGGACACATTAGTTTGTAGGCCAGCAGATAGCAACCACAAGCCTACCAAGGAAATCAGTGGCTTTGGCTATGTTTTGGCCAGAAATTGCTCTCAAATTGTAGTAAAAATCCAAGTCCCGTTATTCCTCTACCAGATCCAGTTTTTCTTCGCTGGCTTCAGGATGCTTGTACAGCTATAGTAGTTTATGTGTTTTGTTCTGCTTTGCCCTGGGATTCTGACGTCTGCTGGTAGCTCAAATATATTTAAAGATAGGCTTCAGCTCAATGCATCTGATACTGCTGCCTCTGTAATAAAAAGGCAGAAAAGGGTGGTTTCTAGGAATTCATCATTAGCATAAATATACTACATCAATCATTCTGCTAAGACAGAAGCAAAAAGCTTCTAAACTAACACTGTTTTTCTGTACTGCAAAGAAGTTTCCTACCCATTTTTTATCCAGAACATTATTGCTTCTTTCTATTTCACTGTTAGGTTCACTGCAAGAGCTACTCTTGCATCATTAAAAGTCAGAGGAGTTGTAGAACTGGAGGAGCATAATGAACATTCAGGGCTTGCTTTTGAAATTATCTCCTTCTCTTTTTGCATATAATATGGTATAAAACATTAAATACTCCAAAGTTGTCAGCCATTACAGTAGTGTAAAAGAGATGTTAGTGGGGTGAGAAAAGAGTTTTTTCATACAGGTGAATAATCTCTTGCTAACAACCCTGAATCTTGAATCGCAGAATAATTAGAGACTGTATTATGGGTAGACAGCATAAACTTCCTCCCACATCTCTTCCTCTCTCAATAGTACATTTCAATCCCACCTACAGGATGTAGAAAGAGAAATGTCTGACTTCTAGCCTATCAAGTTTTTCCTTCTTTGTTAGGCCTAGTAAGGAGGCTACAAACTATGATAATATTTTTTCCTAAATTGTAAATTTTACCAAAAACAACTGTTGTTAGAGAATGAATACTATAAAGATCTGTAATGTATGACTTAGACAGAAAGGTGATGACCAGACCTACAGAAGAACTGACAGACACAAAGCAAATTTATCAGACACCGCTAATACCACCAGTGGCAGCGGCAGTGCTACCTCAGTTCAAAGTCAGATCAGTGACCTAAGAGTAAAAGACTTCATAACCTGCTTTCCTCCCCCTGCCATCATGAGAAGACAAAATAACAATTGCATTTACCTGTAGATCAGGACTTCATCATCTGAGCAATTATACTGCAGCTGATACATTTTTACCCGAGGGGCCGACTTGCTCACTGTCCACTTGACCAAAGCTGAGGTAGTGGTCACATCTGACACCAGAACAGACCTTTCTGGTGGGCCTTTTGTTTCCCCACGATTAGACTTGCTGGAGCTGGTGATGTCTGAAAGTCTGGATTTCGGTGGGGCTGCTCGGCCTGTGCCATTGCTGAGATGGGGGAGCTGAACAATTGAGAGCTCAATTGTTGCAGTGGACTCTCCAGCAGCATTGGCTGCTATGCATGTAAAAGTCCCGTAATCCTTGGAGGTGGTGATGAGGATATCTAACGTGCCATTCTCATAGACAGCTGTCCTCGAAGAGTTCCCAATGAGTCGGTCATCAGGGGCCACCCAATGAATGATGGGGGTGGGATCCCCAATGGCTTTGCATTTCAGTGTGGCAGTTTGCCCTTCTAAAACCAGCAACTTGTGAGTATGTTGTGTAATAAGAGGAGGCTCACAAACAAATTCTTCTTCCCGTACATACCAGAAGTACCTTCCCTTTAGACCTGGAGGAGAAGCACAAGTTTCCATATCGTCATCTCTGTCAAGTCGCCTTAACCACAATAGCTCGCAGTTGCAATGCAGTGGGTTGCCCCCAAAGCTGAGAGATAAAGGTGGAGAAAACGGGGTAACGGCTAATGGAATTGCTTGAGATCTGGCAAATATAGGGTCGGGGGGGAGCTTCTGAAGTCTGTTGGATGTTAGGTCCAATCTGGCCAATTTCTGAAGATCTGCAAACGTCCCCTCTGTAATGTAATCTATCAGGTTATGATCCAAACTGAGCTGGTGCAAGTTTATCATCTTCCTTATAGATTCCCAGGGAATGCTTCGGAGGTTGTTGTAGGAAAGGTCTAAGTCTTCCAGTGTCAGTAAAAAATCCTCAAAGGCTTCATCAGAGATGCTGCTTAGCTGGTTATTGTTTAAAATCAAATGCTGAAGGTTAATTAAGCCTCTCAGAATATCCTCTCCAATGTCAGGTAGCCTGTTGCTGTCCAGATGTAAAGATCGAAGGCTCTCCAAGTCAGTGAAAGAGTAGGGCTGTATGTAACTGATGGTGTTCCTGGACAAAGTAAGGTCAACAAGTCCAGACATATTGGCAAAATCCTGTCGGCTGATGTTAATAATAAAGTTGCCCCCAAGTCGGAGTTCAACGGTCCTTCGATCTATGTCTAGTGGTACAAATAGGAGACCCTTGGAGGGACACAAAGTCCCCAGAGACTCAGACAGGTTCTGACAGACACAATATTTGGGACAAGCGTTGACCATGACAGCCATTCCAAACACCAGGATGCTGCAGAGCAATTTTTCCATGGTAAATCACACAGCAGTACCTGCAATAAATGAAAAGAGTTACAAGGAACATCAGCAGTTATGGTGCAGCTGCCTTTCCTCTTATGTATTATCTAATATCTACCTTCAGAGAGACTTTGCAGTACCTCCTCTCCGGAGTCACACCTAAAGCAATCAGCACTCTGGGATGGGAAGGTGAACTGTTATAGCAACAAGTTTCTCCACAAAATGCATTTCATTCTTAAAAAAAAGTGGGTTTGGTTACAAATCTGAATAGGATAGGAATTGTAAGTGCTTATGCCTGGTAAAAGGGTCTTATGACTGCTTGTTTTCTAGTTACCGTTTCATAAATTTTATTGGGTAGCTGGTAGAGGACAAAACTTGCTATCAGATTGCATGGCTTACTTAAAACCTTGAAAGATTTCATTTGGAATAGTGCCTGCTTCTTTGAGGGTAGAAGCTGTCTTATAGTAATTACTGACTACTGCATAACAATTTCAAATTAGTCTTAGGGTTGAAAGAGCTGATTTTATGGATAAAAATAACTGCATATTTACCCTTCAGTGATGTGGTTCGTAATGACCATGTAATTATCTGGTCAGTCCTGGGGCGAGTCAGTTCACTTGCCCACCCATAATAAAATTCATAATAGGCAGAACAGGAAGCAGAAATCATTTGCATAATCATCACCTGGATTCACACTGCACTCAGCCAACCTATGGGAACCATGACATTGTCTAGCTCCAAAGAGAAGAGATGCAGGGGAACCCTGTGCTACCTTAGGCTCCTGGCAAGCTTTCTGATGCCATCATACTCTCACACTGCAATCTGTCGTAGTACAGCAGAGTTCTCACCTGTATCCACGGCCTTCTCTTGCACCCTGCCCATCTGTCTTTACACCATTATCTCCCTTTTTTTTCAGCGCTCACGTGCTTTTCCAGCGTGACCTGTGTGTATCTTTGAAGAATACATAAAATGTATTTACAGGTTGACTCAAAGCGCCAGTTGTAGCTGGCGGAAGTTTCAGCCCTGCTTCAGGTTTGGGAATATCTCCTTACATAGACTTGTTGACCTTCTTCCCATATGTGTAGGACGTAGATAAACTTGTTTCTCCGTTGCCCAGACTCTGCTATCAGAGAGGCTGGAAGAATGGGCAGACCATCGATTTTTAACCCTCATTCTCCCAATGAGGAAAGGAGAAGGATGAAGAAGATCTATATTTTTGTAATGGATCTCCCAGGCTTTTTTTGCCAAGATGGTGTGCTCTAGTCTCTAAGGCCCTCACTTGTGACAATAGCTACAGGCATACATCCAATGTTGCCATTTTGCCCCAATTTAACCTACATTACCCCACCATGTAACTTTACATCAGTGTCATGGGTACTTCATGCACACCATATCTCTTCTCAGTCACGCAGGTGCACATACACTTAGCAGTATTTGGCACTCGTGTTTCAGGAATAATCATGGCACAATAAGAGATTAGACACCCTCATGCTTCATCACTTGCCCCTCCAGTGCCTAAGCAGTGTATGGTAGACAGTCACCTGTGCCTAAGCTTCTTCTCTTACTGCTGTACGCACAGTGGAAGAACACTCAGTGTTTCGTGTTGACTCCAATAATTAGTGCTACGAGGCTACTCAAACTGTAGTAAATGTATGATGCAAGAAATACATTTCACAAAAAATTCAGATTGCAATTATTTATACATCATCACACATCTGAAATGACAGTGACTCAAATGACTTATAATAATTAAAAGAAATTATAAAGGTTAGTTATTAATCCCCCTGTAATATGCACAAAGCCAAAATCTGTCACTTCAGTATTTTTTTTAACTCTTTAAGTGAGTCTTTCTCCACCTCCCTGTGAAAGGAATAAAAACTATGGCCCTGTGTTTGTGGCTCTGCCCAAGTGGCTGATTTGTCTCCTGGGTAAGATGGTTTGATTTCTTCTCTATAGAATACGTGAGATGACTCAGAAAGAAGGAGCTGTAGAAATGCAAGATGTTATGAGTGCTGAACTATCTACAGTATGTTCTTTATGGCAAGGTTTTCTGCGTGGTGTGATGTTAGCAATTATATACCATTATTACTGTTTCATAGGAGAGGAAAGGACTGAAGCATCTGTGTTTGCTGAACTCTGCAAACAGGATGAAAGCGAGATACTTTTAGAAAGAATGGCTTGAGAAGAGTAATCTTACCTTCAATAGTAAATAAAAGCCTACTGAATAAAATGTTTGGAGATTAGCAAGTATGTTATTGATGCAAATCTGTGGCATACTTAGCAAAGAGCTATAAATATCCCTTATATTATTATCAATTGGTAGTTTACTAACAGGCAATTGGCTTTTTGAATCTTAATTATAATTGTGTTCTGCAGCTTTAATTTAGTGTATTACCCTACCAGCTGAAATGATAAACAAAAAGCAGTTTAAAAGGGGGAGAAACAGATACAGTTAATTAGTAATAAGCCCTTTCATAGCTTCTCCCTCATCTACATTTCCCACCCTCTGAATATCTATTCAAAAATATGAATGCACACTTACGATAGCAGTGTCTCCTTTAAGTGTCCCAATTCTTTAACCACATTTTTTCCGGATGCTGTTAAATGTCACAGTGCTTTGGGAGACAGTTGACTCTAAGCATCAGAGTGAAAAGCATTTGTACAAAAAAAAATGGGGGGAGGAACAGAAGTTAATTATGGAAAATAGGGACTGCAAAACTGAGACGAGACTATGAAGCAGGAGATCCAAACGGCAAAGTAAACCCTGATGGGGAAACCATCTGCGGATGACTTGAAAGCTTGTCATCTGCCTATTCTTGCTTGTGCACATGAGTAAGACACAGAGAGCGCAATATGTGCTTTTACCAGCAGGAGGACAAATCAGTAACAGCCGTACTAGAATGGAAACATCATGGCTGCTGTCTTTCCAGTTATTGAATGCTTTTGAAAGTATTAATGCAAATATGGTTTGTCTGAAGAGGAAATTTCTAGCCGTTGTGATCCTTTGCCAGTTTCAATATTTCAAGATTCAGAGCCCTATGTTTCTCTGCAATGTAGTTCTGAAGTAACCAGTTCACAACATAGCAAATACAGTACAAACCCAAAGGGCTACCTATAGCACACTGGACAGAGCAGAGGTGGGCAGGGCTCATTAAGGAGAGTATCCAGGGTTTCCATAGGGTGGCTGGTTTTCCCTTTTCTCTCCAGACAGAAGAAGCACCTGGGCCACAGATGCGGTAAGAAATCGTGAGTTTGCACAATTATAATAGTATTTTCTAAAATCTAGACTCTCCCAGAGGGTCATGGTGATTGCTAGTTGCCAAGGGGATGGATGTATAAAAAAAACTATTTTGATTTCAGTTCTGGTAACTTGCATATAGGACAGAAAATAAAGTGTCAACTTTAGGGTCTCTTTTTGCTGACCGGTTTGCTCATGTTGTTCCCAAAATCTCTTGTGGCCTGCAACAACAAGCGTTTTGTGGGCTACTAACAGCAGCCTTGTCATAAACTCACCATTTTGATTTACATTTTAAAGATATCTATCAGCCAGATAGAGTAGATTTCTCACAGCAAGTCTGTAAATCTGGCAGAGTTCCTGTCTCAGCCCAAGATGAAAAATAGCCCCTTTAGTCCTCTTCTAATGTGGATTGGTATGAATTAATAAGTGCAAGAGTCATAAACCTTGGTGTTTTGTATTCAAATTTTCCTCATAAAGATACAACTTCTGAGATTTGGCATCTCATTTCAGGAATGTCTCTGAGGCATTTTTTAATTCTATGTTCATTGAGCTTTGCATATAAATTCCAATAACCTTTGTGTACCACAGCACCAAGTACAAGGTAACTGTCAGACAAATAAGCTATAACTGCAGCACACAGGCTTGGAAAAAAAAGAAAGACAAGAAGAAAAAAAAGAAGAGGTGGACGGACAGTGGCTCTGATTTGACTGTCTCCAAGTGCCTTGGGACCCAACTTCCAGCGACTGTATGGGTGAGTTAATATACTTTTCTTCAGCTTGGTAGAAGCTGTGGAGGAATTAGATTTTCTTTTCCAGGAGGTGGCCTTTTCATTTTTCTTCACCTTCTCTTCTCTCAGTTTCAGTGAACCTCTGTGACTAGGAAACCTACCTCCCAGCTGCAAAGCCTGAATGATTGCAGCAATGGGTAAAGTTTCATGCATATTCTCTGAAGTGGTTTAATCTACAATATGTAAAACAGGATGGGACCATGTTAGGACAAAAATTACTCCTTAATCCCTGCATTGCCAAAAACTGTGTGGGAAAGGTAGGTCTTGTGTTCTCCCTGATCCATACAGGCTGTTTATGCCCAACTCACGAAGCAGTGACAATGGCGGCAAGGAAAGTAAATGTCTCTGAACCTGTCCTCAGTACTACATACATTGAAACATAGGTTGGGTGTTAAGCCTCTGCTAGCTTGGTGAGCATCGGTGAGACTCTTCAGGTATTTAAAGTCACTTACATACCTATGTGCTTACAGGCTCAAACTCAGGACAACTAACACTACTTTTGTTTAGCTCTTGTCTTTCACATTTGCCTAGGCTTCTTCACTCCTTGGGGGTAAAGCCTCTTGTCACCAGGTGTGCATATACACAGTGTAACTTAGATTTTGGCTAGGCCTTTCTCGGATCTATTTTTATTGAAGCAAATTAATAGCTTTAACATGCGACATACTTACTTTCTCCAGCCACTTTATATTTTCTAAGTCATAGAAGGGGAATATTTACAAGCACCTTTTCTTCAGGTATTTGTGGCTGTCTTTACTAAGCTCCACCCATATTAACATGACTCATATTTCTTACACAGACACAGTAACAGAAAAAAAGAAGCTCTGGCTGAAGAGTAACAAATTCATTGCCCTTTGTACAACTTTTTCTTGAATACTACAGTCATAGCAAGGTCACAAACAAAAATATCTTACTACCCCTGTACGATCACGAGGTTCATTTGTGTAGTTTGCTTCATATGACTGCTGTTCTCTTGTTTTCACCTTTTCAAGAAGTTGGGGGTCC